CACGGGCAGGGACGTGGTGGCATCTGTCGGCTCTATGTAAGCATCCCGGGTCTTGCCACCTGGCTCTTGGCTGTGGCCCTCACCGGTGAGGTTGTGGGTTCAGATGGGAGCATTTTAGAAGCTTGTTGAGCAGAGCGCTGTGTCCAGGGATAGGTTGGGGTCTCTGTGGAAAGGAGGGGGAGTGACACTGGCCCAGACAAAGCCTTTCCCTCCACTTTGGGACCAAAGATGCTGGCCAAGTCCCTTCCTGGCTCCTCCAGGACTGTATCCCATAGGCAGCGCCTATGGGACGGCGGAGACCAGCCCTGCCCCCGGCTCAGACAGGCCTGTGTTGGACCAGCCCTGCGACTGCAGTTTCCTCATCTGTAACACGGCGTCAAGAGCACCTGCCGCAAGGGTGCTGTGGGGTTCCATGGGAGGCCGGAGAGCAGAATGGTTATCAGCTGTAGCTTCAGAGCCAGCGAGACCAGGCTTTGAGGCCAGCGCGGTTCTCAGTAGCCATGTCCAGCATGACCCAGTAAGGACCCCTGGTCTCTGAGCCATGGCCTCACCCTCTGTAAGATGAGGGTGGGAACAAGATGGATCTCATGAGCTTGCTGTGAGGATTACAGGAAAAACACATGGGCACTACTTGGTCCAGAACAAACCCTCAATAAATGACAGCTGCTGCTCCTGCTGTTACAGGATGCCTGGAACACGGTCCGTGGTACCTAGCAGATGGTAAAGTTGTCTTCATTGGATACACACAGTACGTGTGGTGTTGCACTTAGGACAGTATCTGGCACATGGGAAGCATGAAGCAGTGAAATAAAATAACATGGGGGCAGGTTCTCACATCTGTAATCCCAGTACTTTGGAAGGCCGAGGTGGATGGATCACTTGAGGTGAATAGTTACAGACCAGCCTGGCCAATATGGTGAAACCCAATCTCTACTAAAAAATATAAATATATGAATTAGCCAGGCATGGTAGTGGATGCCTGTAGTCTCAGCTGCTCAGGAGGCTGAGGCAGGAGAATTGTTTGAACCATAGGCGACGGAGCAAGACTCTGTGTCAAGAAAAAAGCAGGCCAGGCGCAGTGGCTCACGCATGTAATCCCAACACTTTGGGAGGCCAAGGCAAATGGATCACGTGAGGCCAGGAGTTCGAGACCAGACTGGCCAACATGGTGAAACCCTGTCTCTACTAAAAATACACACACACAAAAAAATTAGCTGGGTGTGGTGGTGCATGTCTGTAATCCCAGCTACTCGTGAGGCTGAGGCAGGAGAATCGCTTGAACCCAGGAGGCAGAGGTTGCAGTGAGCTGAGATCGCACCACTGCACTCCAGCCTGGGCGACAGAGTGAGACTTGGTCTCTAAATAAATAAATAAATAAATAGAAAAAAAATTAAAATAACATGGAAATACAGCATGAAGGAAGAAGAGTCCATCTCTGCCCTAAAGACATTCCCAGTGTATTTGGGTTCTTGTTCCATTTATCCCCCTCCCAAGTCAGGCCCAGTGTTTGACATCTTTGACACCTGCAATACGGCAGAATGGGGACAGGGCCTGTCCTCAGGGAGCTCACACTGTAGAGTGAGGGAAACAGACCAGAAAATGGTGCTACTGGAAGTGGGGGTGGTCTCTGGGTAGGTCCCCGACAATGTAAATGTTGGCTCTTACCCTTCCCTCCCCCTTTCTCCCTCCCTGACCCCGGGACTTTCCCCCACCCCAACTATCTATCTTGGCACCAACGCCAGGTTAAGATTCCCCAAATGCCACACTGACGACGCTCCTCCTTTGCTGAAAGACTCGGTGCTATCCAAGTTCTGTCGCAGCATCCACATGCCTCAGTAGAGAGAGGCAGCCCTAGGTGGGCAGGGGCTGGCCCAGGAAACGTGGGGGCTCTAACTCACCTTTCTGACTTTGGTTTTTTTGAGACGGGGTTTCACTCTGTCACGCGGGTTGAAGTGCAGTGGTGTGATCATGGCTCAGTGCAGCCTCGATCTCCTGGGCTCAAGGTATCCTCTCACCCCAGTCTCCCCAGTAGCTAGGACTACAGGCACATGCCACCAAGCCTGGCTAATTTTTTTTTAATTTTCTGTAGAGACGGCGGTCTTGCTGTGTTGTCCAGGGTGGTCTTGAACTCCTAGACTCAAGAGATCCTCCCACCTTGGCCTTCCAAAGTGGTGGGATTACAGGCGTGAGCCACTACATCTGACACCTTCCCAACTTCTCCTCAGGTCAACTTGTTTCATCCCAACTGGCCCACACCTGGCCTCGGGAATGCCCTTATTCCTCCCTATCCAGCTTTGTTCTTTTCTCTTTCCCCACTCCGTCCACCCTCCCTTCTCCCCACCTCCCGAGACCCTCCCTGGACCCTTTTCTCTGACACTTTGTTGGCTGGGATTACAGGCGTGCACCACCACGCCTGGCTAATTTTTTATATTTTTAGTAAAGACAGGGTTTCATCATATTGGCCAGGCTGCTCTCAAACTCCTGACCTCAGGTGATCCACCCTCCTTGGCTTCCCAAAGTGCTGGGATTCCAGGTGTGAGTCACCACGCCCGGCCTGGGCTCCCCCTACTCTTGAACCAGATGCAGGTGGTCTCCTAACTGGTCTCTCTTTGCTTCAAACCACCCTCCCTGCAACCTAAGGTTGATCCATGTTGCAAATCTGACCGTGTCACTCTCCTGCCTGCCACCCTTGCGTGGATGAAGAAGTATCTCCTGCTCTAGTTTTGCTTTAGCTGACAATGGTTAAGGCCTCACTAAGTGCCAGCAGTCCTGCCAATCTTTCAAGGCCACTTCACATCCCGTCTCATTCACCCATTCATGCATTCAAACATAATAAATGCCAGGGACTCTGCTAGGTGTTTTTTTGTTGGTTTTCTTTCTTCTTCTTCTTCTTTTTTTTTTTTTTTTTTTCTTTTTTTTGAGACGGAGTCTCACTCTGTCACCTAGGTTGGAGTGCAATGGCATGATCTCAGCTCACTGCAACCTCCACCTCCCGGGTCCAAGTGATTCTCCTGCCTCAGCCTCCCGAGTAGCTAGGATTACAGGTGTGTGCCACCGTGCCCGGCTAATTTTTGTATTTTTAGTAGAGAAGGGGTTTCACCATGTTGGTCAGGCTGGTCTTGAACTCCTGACCTTGTGATTCGCCTGCCTTGGCCTCCCAAAGTGCTAGGATTATAGGCATGAGCCACCACGCCCCACTGTTTTTCTTGTTTTCTATCATTTTATTTTTTAAAAATAGAGATGGCGGGGGCAGGCGCGGTGGCTCACACCTGTAATCCCAGCACTTTGGGAGGCGAAAGCAGGAGGATCACTTGAGCTCAAGAGTTCGAGACCAGCCTGGCCAACGTGGTGAAACTCTATCTCTACTAAAAATACAAAAATTAGCCAGGCGTGGTGATGCATGCCTGTCATCCCAGCTACTCAGGAGGCTGAGGCATGAGAATTGCTTGAACCCAGAAGGCAGAGGTCGCAGTAAGCCGAGATGGTGCCACGGCACTCCAGTCTGGGTGAGAGAGTGAGACTCTATGTCAAAAAAGAGAGAGAGAGAGAGAGAGAGAGAGAGAGAGGTCTCACTATGCTGTCCAGGCTGGTCTTGAACTCCCGGGCTCAAGTGAGCCTTGGCCTCCCAAAGTGCTGGGATTACAGGTGTGAGCCGCCGCACCCAGCCTATGCTAGGTATTTACAGACATTTCATAACTTAATCTTCACAACAATGCTCTGGGGTCACAACTATTGTAAGTCCCATTTGGCAAGGCAGAAAGCCAAGGCTCAGAGAGGAAGTTGCTCAGGACACACCTGGTGAATTTTAAGTAGCAGGATTCCAGTACACCTTTGATCCACTCCCTGCCAAGGAGAAAAGCTTTATGCAGAAACCAGGGCATTGAGTGGTAACAGGGAAACTTCTCCCAGTACAGGGCCAGGATGCCCAGTGTTCAGGCTAGCTGTGTGTGACATTGGATCAGTGAGGGGAGCCTCTCCCACATAGGCCAGGACCAGGACTGAAACCAGTAAGGAGAGGAAGCTAAGGAAACAGCTTCCTTGTCAGCCTCTGTCCCTCCCTGGTCCCAGACCACATGGTGGGGTCCCTTTCCCCATCCTGAGGTCCACAGAATGACAGTCCCCCTCCAAGTTAACTGGGAAATAACTCAGAAAGCCACCCGCAGAACTAATCCCTCCTCCTGCTTGGGGAGGACTTGGAAAAACTGAGAACAGCCAAAAGCCAGAATGGAAACTCAGTTCTCCTGACTGGGATCCAGGGCCTGCTCTACTCTTCCTCCTTAGAAGTCCTTCCCAAGGATCCCTGACATTCCATGGTCGGGGAGCGGGAAAGAGGCCTTGGCGGGTACTCACTCACCAGCTATGTGAGTAGAGCGGTCACTTCGCTTCTGTGGCTTCATCTGTAAAATGGGTATATCCCAAAATACCAGACTCACAGGGCTGCTGAGAGCTTAAATGAATAACACACTTACGCAAAGTGTCTGGCATACAGGTGCTCAGCCAACCTCAGGTCCAGCTATGTCGTTCTCCAAGAACTTAGATGAAGGAAAGAACCCACTCCCACCCACCCCGCCCCCACCCCGATACACACAACGGGCAAATGAAAAAATATAACGAAACACATGCGGGTCAATGCTATGGGGATTCCTCGTCGGGGAAGTTTCTTCCCTTATCAGCAGTTGGATGACGCAGATGGCACAAAGGAAAAACAAGAACGCTCGGACCAATGGGAAGACTGCGATTTGGGGAAGCACTCATTCTTTTCCCAGAGATCGGGAGTTCGACCTTCCCCATACACAGTGATTTAGCTTCACTAGCCCAGACTGCGGGCCTGCAGGGAAGGGCGAAGCGGGGCGGGACCGGGGGCGGGAGCTGCGCGAGGAGGGAGCAGCGCGGGGCGGGAGCAGCGCGGGGCGGGAGCAGCGCGGGGCGGGACCCTCCCCGCGGCCCACGCGGAGCCAGGAGGCGCGGACTACAGCTCCCGGCCTGCCCCGCGCGTGATTCCCTCCCGCCCCCCGCGCCCGGGAGGAGGATGCAGACGCCGCGGCCGGCGATGAGGATGGAGGCCGGGGAGGGAGCGCCGCCGGCGGGGGCGGGCGGCCGCGCCGCAGGCGGCTGGGGCAAGTGGGTGCGGCTCAACGTCGGGGGCACGGTGTTCCTGACCACCCGGCAGACGTTGTGCCGCGAGCAGAAGTCCTTCCTCAGCCGCCTGTGCCAGGGGGAAGAGCTGCAGTCGGACCGGGTGAGGCCCCCGGGGTGGGCGGCGAGCGGGCGGTGGGTCCTCTGCTGGCCCGACGCAGGGCTGTCGGGCCTGGCTCGCCCGCCAGGCTGGGGACCCGGCTGCGTTCATTTCCGAGGAACTGGAGGCGGGAAGAAGCGGCAGGAGGAGGGAAGGGGGAGGTGGGTCTGGTAGTGAGGGATGTGCCCATTGCCGTGGCAACGGGACAACGCAGGTCGCGGCCATTAGAAGCTCTCCAGCCGCCCTGGATCGGGGTCTCACCTTCTCCTTTGGGGCAGTGGACAGGGAGATACCTGGGGCCTTTCCTCCCTCCCAAAGGGGACTCCTGCTCTGGGGAAGGAGTCGACGAGGCTACTTCTCCTGCCCTTTGGGATGTGGGTGGCGGAGGGGTGCAGGGAGCTAGCTGGATGGAGGAGCCCTGGGGCGCCTTTTGAGCGGGCTGAATCTAGAAGGAGCGCTGGCCCAGCGGGCACTGTTTCTGAGCACCCACCCTGACTCTGCTGCACGCTGCCTGCTGCGACCTTGGGTCGGACCCTTCCCTGCACTGCGCTCAGCCTCCTTCCTCATCTGTAACACGAAGGGCTGGTCTGAAGATGACCTCTAAGGTCTCCTGTCCCCCATCCGTGACCTTCCGATGCTGTGGCCTTTGGCAAGTCGCCTCGCCTCTCAATGTCTCCCATCTCTCTGTAGAGTCGCATGGAAGCCCACTCTGCCTCCCTGCCTGCCTGAATGTCCAGTGAGATAGTGGCTTCTTTGGAAACTTGTAAACATCCCCTGAAAGCCTGGGGACCTGGGGGCGACAGTGGGGCTGGCATCAGGGGACAGCTTCTAAGAGGGACATTCTCTGAGCCCTGTGCTGGCCCAGTTGCCACTCAGACCTCCTGTCACCAGATGCTCACAGCGACCCCTGATGATGGGGAGAGGAGTGAGGCTCAAAGAGGCCAAATCATTAGCCTAAGGTCACACATTCAGGAAAAGTCAGAAGCAGGGTTTGAACTCAGGTCCACCTGACCCCAGTGCCTTTTTGCTCCTTTGTGCCTGCTCCATCCAGGGAAGAGCTCTCCCTGGACTCGCTTCCCTCCCTGTGCATGTGTGGGGTTGGCCTGGGAGAGGCCTCACTCTTCGCTCACGGAGCATCCCTCACCTCCATAGGATGAGACCGGGGCCTACCTCATTGACCGTGACCCCACCTACTTCGGGCCCATCCTGAACTTCCTCCGGCATGGCAAGCTGGTGCTGGACAAGGACATGGCTGAGGAGGGTGAGTTGGTTCAGGGGACTGGCCTGGGGCCCATATCCTAGCCCGGCCCTCTGCAGCCTGCCAGGGCCCTCTGTGGAGGCCCCAAGCCATTTGGACAACCAGGATGGCCGTCTGCCTGCTTCGTTGTTTCCTGCCTCTTCCCATCCGGACGAGTCTGATTCCCAAGCATCTGCCTGTGCCCAGCCTGGGGCTCTGCCAAGCGGACGGGCTCAAGCTTTCCCAGGGTGCTGTCAGGGAGGTGACAAAGACACACGCGCAGGGGATAGAGGAAGTCAGCAATGCCCTGTGGCCTCTGCGGTGGGCTGTGATGCCCTTTCTCTCTGGCCTCCTAGGAAGCCAGATGTGGACCGTCACATCCGGAGGCTGGGGTGACAGGAATTTGGTGTTGACAGGCATGGGGAGAGCGCTCTCTCTCTCTTTCTCTGGCTGATCCAGTATCTCCAATTCTGCCTGGTGAGGGCTTGTAAGTGGGTGGAGCGGGTGACTGTTCACTAAGTCTGGCAGCCTGTGCGGCACAGTGCTGGTTGTGGGTGGAGGCAGGGGAGGGGGGAGTCTGCTTCCCAGTGGGGCTTTGGTTATCCCCAGGCCTAGGTGGCAGGGGCCCTGGATATGCCCATATCTGGGCCTAACAAACAGTGGGGAAGCCGTGTCTGGAAGAACGACCTGTTAGCAGAGCCCCAGCCAGGGGCAAGGACTAGAGTCAATGCCAAGTTAACTCTTCTTTGGGACACAGGGTGTGGCTCTGGGTCAGCTGATCCAGCCAGACCAGCTTGAACATGTCACTTCTCCTCGCTGCGTCTCCACTGGTATCTGTTAAATGGGGGCGGTGATCTGCCTCCTGGAGGGAGATGTCATGAATCCTGTGCACAGACAGCACCTGCATCTGTGCATGCCTTCCTGCTCTGGGCCATGGTCTGCCCTCCCTGAGCCCTATGGGACACAGTGGTCTGGAGGCCCAGCAACTCTCTAGCAGGTCAGGGCCGCAACACCAGAGTCCACTGTGGGTACCTGGCCCTGCAGAACCCCACAGCTTCCCTGTTAATCCCTGTGGGAGCACAGATACCATGGGAGTGGCCTAGGCTCAGGAGCAGGCCCCGCCGGGAAGGAAGTAAACACCCAAGCTGCGTCACAGCCAGCACCTGTTTACACGCCCTGCGTTCTCAAAGCCCTGCTATTCCCACACCTGCAGACAGGCCTGTCCGGGACTAGAGGATCAGACAGGGCTATCCGGGGGCTAGGGGATCACGCAGGCCTGTCCGGGGGCTAGGGGATCACGCGGGCCTGTCCGGGAGCTAGGGGATCACGCGGGCCTGTCCGGGGGCTAGGGGATCACGCGGGCCTGTCCGGGGGCTAGGGGATCACGCGGGCCTGTCCGGGGGCTAGGGGATCACGCGGGCCTGTCCGGGGGCTACGGGATCATGCGGGCCTGTCCGGGGGCTAGGGGATCACGCGGGCCTGTCCGGGGGCTAGGGGATCACACAGGGCTAGGGCTCATCCAGGGGATAGGGGATCTGAGATGAGACTTACTAGCTGTGTGACATTGAGAAAGTGACCTAACCCCTCTGTGCCTCCATGCCCCCATCTGTGAAATGGGGGACCATAACACCCACCTCACCGAGCTGTCATGAGGATAAAAGGAGTTAATAGCAATGCATCATGGAGTTCAGTGCCTGGCCGGTGGATGTGGGTTGCGGTGCTAGCTGTCTGTCACCTGCAGGGCTCTGCCCAGGGCACTGGGGATAATTCTCGCAATCAGGTAGCAGCACTCCCTGACCTCCTGCTCTGTGTTCGGTCCTGTGTGGGCCCCGGGGACAGAGGGCAGATCAGAAATGTGAGCCCCATCTTAGCCATTTCAGGCGGCAATCATGAAGTAGCATAGATTGGGTGGCTTGTGAAAATCAGAAATTTATTTCTCTCGGTCCTAGAGGCTAGAAACCCGAGATCGGGTCCCTGTGGCAGCTTCTGGTGAGGACTTTCTTCTGGGCTGAAGACTGCTGACCTCTGGTTGTGTCCTCACACGGCAGAAAGAGAGGCAGCTAGCCCCCGCCCGCCCCTTCTCAAGAGCTTGTTTGGAGGTTCTAGCAGGGCAGCGCAGCTACTCACACACCCTTGACCAAAGACTGGTCCTCTATCGGGGGTGGTCGCCCTCTTCGACGGAGCTGGCAGTTTTGGGAGGGACACACCTGGAGCGGTGAGGGAGGAAGGGGACATGCACCTAGCCAGCCAGATCCGCTAAATCAACCCTGGCGATTCAGTGGTTGATTTAGTCACAGCCAGATCACCCTCACATCCAATCAATCTTTCTTATAGGAAGACCGATCCCACCCTGGGGACTGTATCCCCTGATCTCATTACCTCCCCTCCTAATCGCATCACAGTTTTCAGCAGGTGGATTTTTGGGGAACACACACATTCAGCTCATTTGAGCCCTGTCCCCAGGGAGCCCAGAGGCCAGTCAAGGAAAGGGCCCGAAGGTCCCCTGCCTTCTGGGAGCCTAGGGGAGTGGAAACAGCTGGAGGCTCATCGCTTCACTGGTAGGCTGACATCTTCATCTCCCAGATTAACTTAACTGTCAGATGGGGACAGTAAGGCCGGCTCTCCTCACATCCCTGGGACTTGTGATGAGCTCGTGTGGGGTGTTGCAAACTGTAAAGTGAGGCAGTTGGGGGAACGTGTGGTCACAAGGGTATGTACTCACAGTGGGAAGACAAGGGCTCTGGAGTCTGCGGTACTTGAGTTCCCTCTGCCACTTACCAGCTGTGTGACCTTGGACAAGCTGCTTCTCTTTGGGAGCCTCAGTTTTCCCAGTTGTTCAATGCGGATGATGAAAGTACCTCCTTCTAGTTCTGAGAATTCAAAAACGTAATGCGCCTAGCACTTAGAGTGTGCTTAATAAATAGGAGCACATGATCGGGAGTTAGGCAGGGCCCTGCTCATGGTGACATTCTGGGGATCAGTCCCAATGACCCTGCTGTCTCTTGATGGCCCTAAAGCTGCCCCAGACTGTGGCCTGGCAGGTGCCCCTGGGTCACCACGCTCAGCACAGCAGAGCTGTGTGGCAGCCTCTCAGCCCCTTCCACAAGAAGCGTGGGATCCAGTGAAGGAAATGCTCCCTTTTGCTTGACCCCTGAGCTCACAGACACTCAGCTCACCCTCAGGGCGGGTGATCGGAGCAGGAGGTGGGTTCCGGGGTGGAGGGAACAAGAGGAGAATGGGGCATGGAGGCAGAAGGAGTGACCTGGGATCTGTTCTGTCTGTGCCAGGGGTCCTGGAGGAAGCCGAGTTCTACAACATCGGCCCACTGATCCGCATCATCAAAGACCGGATGGAAGAGAAGGACTACACGGTGACCCAGGTTGGGAGCAGGGGCAACATACATGCCAGGGCAGGGGCCGGTGGGGAGAGGGAGGCTGGGAGACGGGGCGGGAGGCAGAGGAGGTTGGAAAAGACAGGACCAGTGTTTATCATGGGGAGACCAGGCTGGCCTGTAAGGAGAGGCGTGGTTGTTCGGCTCCCAGGCTGCCCAGCACAGCCCCAGACTGGGAGATGGACACTGGGGTTCAGTCCCTGTCTCAGCCCCATTTGCTCTGTGATGTTGGGCCAGGCTCGCCCTCTCTGGACCTTGATTTCCTCTTATGGGATAGAGAGGGGTGGGAATGGCACACCCATCCCTTCCTCATAGGCAGAAGGGGGTCAGTGTGGAGGTACAGGGTGCCCTGCAGAGGGCAATGCAGGATTAGCAAATTGTGCATTTCGTGGCATCAGATGGTCGCCTGGTGGGCTCGGCACAGGCTGTTGGGGCTGGCGTTTGTGAGCCTGGAGCCTGGGCCTCCCTGGCCAGTCTGCAGGAAGAGGGAGGGAGATTTTCCGCCTGCTCTTGGGGATGTGTAAGGGTTGGGGGACAGGTAGTGAGGAACCATCTCCCAGGCCCACGGGATTGAAGAGGGGAGGCTCTGTGTCTCCTTGAGGGCCTGACTCCTTGAGGGTGACCCAGAATGTTCCCCAAGCCCCACCCATGTTCTTTCTTGAATTACCTGTGTTCTGGTTCTGTCTCCACCCTTGAGCTGGGTGACCTTGGGCAAGTAACTGGACCTCTCTGAGCCTCAATGGAAAGTCCCATAATGCCTAGGATTCTTGGAAGGATTAAGGGAGATGGCGTCTGGTGAATGCCTGGTGAGGAGCAGGCACTCAGAGCATGGCTGCCTCCCCGCAGCCACCTCTTCTTTCTCTTCCTCTCTCCTTCTTTGGGTATGTTGCGGGGGTGGTGGCAGGAGGTGCTCATGCCCCTCCTGGGGTGCCTGGTGCTCCCACAGGTGCCCTCTATGTGACCCTTCTGCCCCCAGGTCCCGCCTAAGCACGTGTACCGCGTGCTACAGTGCCAGGAGGAGGAGCTCACGCAGATGGTCTCCACCATGTCTGACGGCTGGCGCTTTGAGCAGGTGCGCTGGGGATGGGGCATGCCACCAGGACCACCCTAGGGCTTCCTGGCCTCTGACCAAGCAGGCCCCTCCCTTCCTGCAGCCCCAGCCTTGGGTTCCCCACCACATTCCCCGCTGCCCCAGGGGTCTTCTGAAATCAAACTAAACAAGGTTAGGAGAGACCACACTTTGTGGCAGGTTAACAGAGAGAGAGAGGACAGGAGCCCCAGTGGCCACAGGGCAGCACGGGGCATCCTTGTTGGTGGGAGTCCTCACAGCAACCAGGTGGTGATCTGTCTGGTGGCATGAGCGAGTCTCTGGCCCCCGAGTGACAGCCCAGGTACAAGGAGACCAGATCCACATAGGTGAGCGGAGTCCACCTGGAGTCAGCGCCTCTTAGAACTGAGTCAGCACCACGTGATCCAGCAGTTCCTGATGCACAGTGTTCAGGGTCTCTGCAGGGGACATGCCCAGCGGCCAGCATTGCAACATGCAGGGGAGCCCAAAGCAGTGACTTCCCGTGAGGTCTTTGTGGTGAGCGATGGTTCCTCCCAGTCCAGATGCAGTTTACCCATCGGGAGATCCTTATCCCAAGGCACTTTATCCCTAGTCATGCAGCTGACCTCCCACCTCTCAGGTTTCCAGAGGAGCAGAGCCAGAAAGTGAGCCCAGGGTCAAAAGTGCCTTTAGAGAAGGAGAGGGTCTTGGCTAACCTTTCTCCACACCTACCCACATGCTCCCTGGCACATGGAGACTGCAAGGCAGAAGGTCGGGGCCCCCAGGATGGCCTGGAGGGATGGAAGAATGGGCCCAGTGCAGAGCCAGAGGCCTGGCTTCACCCCTGGGCCTCGCCACGGACATGCCTGCCACGTTGGACAAGTTGCATCTCCTCCACGGGCCCATTTCCTCATCGGTGAAGTGGGCTAACAGTACCTCCTCTGTAGGACTGTTGTGAAGATTAGAAGGGCCATCAGTAAAGCTTACAGCCCTCCGTAGGACTCCCTATGTTGGCACTAGTGTCGTGCAAATCATTAGAAATCCATATTGAAGTATGCGACCCTCAGAAAGGACTTGGGACCCCCGATGCCATTCCCTGCTCCACCCCTTCCTGGCTGTGAGGCCTTCAGCAGGCCTGAGAGTCCCTCCAGGGTCCCTGAGAGCTGAATGAGATTCATCACCTGGAAGAACTTTCTTATTTCTTAGCCAGAAGGGCTCTGTGGGCGTGGTTATTCTAGGGACCCTGGAACAAAGGCAGGGCTACTCTGAGAGCCTCTGGGCGTCTCTGGCAATTGCACAGGCTCTCAGAGGCTGAGCAGGCAGGCCAGGGGCCATTGGTCATTTGCCCTTTGGTCTCAGGAGTGGACCACCTGTCCCACCTCTGCTTCCAGGAGTGAAGGGAATATTCTGTGGGGCTCCACCTTGTCAATGCCACCCTGCAACCTTGTCCTGTGTCAGCCACATCTGGAACGGGGGACAGCCGCCCTTTAGAGGCCTCCGCCTGCATTTAGAGAAGGGCCGCCTGGCTCTGGTGCTAGGCTGGGGGTGCTGGCGGGGACAGCGGTAATGCTGCCACCCTCCACCAGGGATCGGACCAGCCAAGCCAGGCGGAGAGGCTGGTCCTGGGGCACAGACCACAGGCACAGGTTGCAAGGGGGAAGACTCCACCCTCCTGCCCAGAGGTGCCCTCTACAAACCCGGGAGCGGGCCCGGCAAGCCACAAGAGCAGATCCTGAGCTGGTGTCTTGATTTGAGTGCCGAGGTCTGCCCTACCCGGCCCCACGGCCCCCAACACCAACCTGCGTCTTTCTCCCCATGCTCCGCCCCTCTAGCTGGTGAACATCGGCTCCTCCTACAACTACGGCAGCGAGGACCAGGCAGAGTTCCTGTGTGTGGTGTCCAAGGAGCTCCACAGCTCCCCGAATGGGCTGAGCTCAGAGTCCAGCCGCAAAACCAAGGTGAGCCCACCCGCCTCAGCCTGTGTCCAGAGAAGGTTCCTGTCTCCCTCCACCCTCCCCGCCTCTCCCACCCCTGCGCCTGCACCATCCCTCCACCTCTCTACCCCTGCTGCCCATGCACAACCCCATGCTCACAGCCACCGCCATCCATCCCATGCCACCTGCCGTTACCCAGGCCCAGGCTGGGAGCAGTGAGATGAGAGCATCCCAGGGTGCGGCCGGAGTGGACTCAGAGGCTGCGTGAAGGGGGCCGCGTAGTGGCCACCAGGCACTGTGGCATGGACTAGGGGTCAGGGCACAGCGTGGCACTCTGTATGACCTAGGACAGGGCTTGTCCTCTCCCGGCACCTTTGCTGTGCTCTCTGAAGTGAGAGGGGAGGATCACGTACTCTTTGTGGTGCCTTGGAGCCTGGAGCTTCTGGGATCCCACATGGCCGTTTATTCCCCAGGGACGGGTGCATGTCCCCAGCTGGCCTGAGCCAGGATGGGGAAGCCACCGCTGTAACTCCTGCCCCTTTCCCAGGCCCCCTCCTTGGCCGCTCTGCAGGATGGGGGCAGCCTGGTGGCTGCCAGTCCTGTGTGTCTGCCTGGCCTGTTGAGGCAGCCTCCTGAGAGTGCCCTGGCAGCATCCACTGTACCACTGTGGGGAGGGGGCCGAGCGGGGGTCCTGCCACCCTGGACACAGTGCTGTGGTGGGAAGTCCCAAGGGCCTTCGGCAGAGCCACAGAGCAGGCGTGAACCAGGCTGGGAAGAAGGCAGGCTGCCCCACCTGGGGCCCAGCCCTGCACAGTGGAGGCTGATCTCTGGCTTCCTGTCTGTCTGTCTGTCTGCCTCCCTGTCCTGCTGTGACGCACCCTGCCTGCCCACCCACCCCCACCACTGCCAGGGCTGGTGCTGCCCTGCAAGGGTGCAGAGCGAGCCTGCTCCTTCTGCCTTTTTGGGCCAAAGCCCCTGGACCTGGGGTGTCAGAGACCTGGTGGCATCCCAGATCTGGGTGGTGTCTGCCCTGGGGCTTCCTTGGCCACATTTCTACTCAGGAGCAGTCTTTCCAAACAAGGCCTTCCCAGGCACCCCTCAGGGATACCCCAGTCCCACACCCTCCCCGTTCTGCTTCATGCCCTCGCTGTAGCCTCACTCTATGTAACAGCAGCCAGGCTGACCCCAGAGCATGACCACAGCACCCCATCCTCAGCTGCTTTCCCCAGGCCCTCCCCAAGCTGCCCGGGGGACTGGAGAAGATGCCCCCAGCTTCTGTGGCTGGAGCCCTTCCCTCTCCTGAGGTCCCTTTCACCTTGCCTGAGACTGGGTCTTTGGGGATAGCCAGCAGGCCCTGGCCCCTCTGTTAGTGTCTCCACTCTTTCTTCCCTGGGTCCGCCGGCTGGTTCACAGAGCACGGAGGAGCAGCTGGAGGAGCAGCAGCAGCAGGAGGAGGAGGTGGAGGAGGTGGAGGTGGAACAGGTGCAGGTGGAGGCAGATGCACAGGAGAAAGGTGCAGCCAACCCCCAGGAGGATGATTGCTAAGCAAAGTCGGAGCCTCCCGCCCACTCCCTGCTGGAGCCAGCTGCAGAACCGGGGGCCCCGGGGCTGCTGGGGGGGCACCAGGGTTAGCTCAGCCACTTGCCTGGCGCCTCACCCGCATAACCATCCCTTCTCTCACTTTCTCTTTGCAGCCCAGTCATCTCAGGATCCCGCTAACCTTTTCTCCCTCCCACCACTGCCTCCTCCTCCGCTTCCCGCTGGAGGTCCTGCCTCATCTTCATCCACCTCTTCTTCCTCCTGGATCTCATCTGCACCCTGCCTCTTCCCTCTCTGCCCCTGTCCGGGTTTTCTCTCTGCCTGCTCACGCCTCCATCCCGGGTCTGCCCTGGTCCCAGCCTCCCGTGCCCTCCACCCAGGCCCCCTGGCCCTGCATCCCAGAGCGTCCTGCCTGCCGCCTCCTGCGCCCCTTCTGGTACCTCCTGCCTCCCAGCCCGGGGAGGAGGGGCGCAGCTGCACCTCCTCTGTGCCCACCAACCCTGCCGGGCACCACTGAGGCTGGGCCCCGGCCGCAGGCCCTGCCCCGCCTCCTCTCCTCCCGGCCTCCTCCTCACGTTTCCTCCTTGCAGGTTCCCGTCCGCACTCTCTCAGACCTGAGGCTGAGCTTGCAGTGAGGGCTTCTCCTCGGCCCCTCGCCCGCCCCCAGAGCTGCCATCCCTGGTTTGTAGCTTGGCGGTGCTGGAGGGAGGGGTGGAGCGAGGAGGGTGCTCATCTCTTGATCCTTGGACTTGAGCCGAGCTTTCGGCTGATTATCTCCACCCACCAAAGTTTCTCATCCGACCTTGGCCTTGGGGGTGAAGCTCTGAGAGAAGAAAGTTAGGGAGTGGGAACTTTCCCACCAGCCCATCAGCACCAGAGCCAGGCTTGCGGGGAGGGAGGGACCCGCTGAAGCCAGAGGCCTTGGCCGAGTCCCTGCACATCCAGGAGCTCCTGTGTCACTGCCTTGTGGCATCCCCTATTTCTGTGGGGATGGGGAGGACAGGCCACTTTTGGATACCCTTGGCCTATGAAGTGTCAGCCAGAGCTGGCTTAAGGATTGCAGAGTGTCAGAAAAAAACCTGGCCACATGCCCACAAGCCCCCACCCCAGTCTTTTCTTCCTGCTGTGTGACTTTGGGCAAGTCACTGTCCCTCTCTGGGCCACAATTGCCTCTAAAACGGGGACAAACAGCTGCTCTCCGTGGCTCCTTTCGCCTGGGGCATCAGTGCTTTTCCCAGCCTGACCAACCCCCATCCCACCCCCTTAAGAGTCTTGGCAGAATCTGGCCTCTGTAGGTGGCTGCCACTGAGCCCAAGACAGGGCATGGGGCTCCTGGATGGGTTAGTTGGGCACCCTTCCTGCTCCTCCCCCACTCAATTCTGAATCCACCTTCTCTGGGCCTCAGCCCCATCGCCTTCTCCAGAAGGAAGCCTGTGACTCAACTGCCTCTCTCTCTCTCCCTCTCCCCACCCCTTCAATCTCCTCCACCCCCTGGCCCTGCATCACCCCCTCCTTCCCGGCCCCACCTCCGTCCCTCCCATCCTCCTGTCCTTCCCCTCTTTTTTTTCTAGCTGTTACAAGCCAGAGGCACCCGGATGTGAGGCCCCAGATCACCTCCAGGGACTTGGGGTTCCCATCTGAAATCCTTTATTTTTGTACCATGGGGTGGGCCCCGGGCCTGAGAAGGAAGAAGCCTCCTCTGTCTGCACCTGTGGGGCTGTGACTCACCCCTGCCTCCAGGGCCGGGGCGGGGCGGGGGCCCCCGGGACCTCTCAAGGCCCAAGGTGGGCCCCAGGATCTCTGGGCAGAGCCGACTGCTCATGGCGGACATGTGGCAATGTCTGGCTGTGTGTCTCCAGCCCCCGCGTCCCCTTTCCCGGGCTCCCCTGCTGCATGGCGGATGCACTCCTTCCTGGCCCAGTCACATCGCCTCCTTGAGCCTTAGTCCAGGGGGTAACTCCTCCCACCCCACCTACCTCACAGGGTTGTTGTGAGGGTGCACAGAGGAGCAAGGTCCCTGAAGGCCCTCGGGCAGTATATAGGGGCCGCCCACCTTCAGCTGCCCTGGGATGGGAAGGACCCAGCCCAACCCCTGGGCGTAACACTGTGTTTGCAAATGGAGATTCAGGTATTGGGGATGCAGGTTGTGGGGAGCTGGCCTGTCAGAGTAGGGGTAGGTGGCTTGGCCTTCACCTTGGTGATCCCATCCCCAGCCATTTGCATTGCTGGCCCAGCGCCTGGCCTGGGGGGCGGGGAGAGGCAGCAGAAGGGGCTGGGCAGGGGCGGTGGAGGACTCAGGAACTGCCCGGGGAGAGTGGGTGTGGCGGCTGAGCCAGCGGCCATCCTGTGTTTGAATGCCTGGAATGGGTCCTTGCTTCTCGGCTATGTCGGACCCCACCGTGTAATAAAACCCGAAGGAACAGCCCAGCCTGGCTGTCACCCTCTCTTTCTCTGGGCCACTTTTGGGGAACTCAAGGTGTGGTAGACTGGCCCAGAGGAATGCAGCTTTCTCCTGAAAGCCCAGGGACGCTGCCCTGTTGTCATTTTCCTGGGTGTGTTGCAGGGAGGGCTTGGGGAACTGGCTACATCCTTTGCCCTGGGGCCAGATACCAAAGCACCTGCCCTACCTGGCCAGGAGCCAGAAAACAGAACTCTAGGGAGAGCCCTGGGCTGCCTCTGCCACATCCTAAACCTCTCAGGACGCCGCCACCCCCACTTCTATTCTAACACCTGGGCCACCTCCGTCCCTCCCTATTGCTGCCACCCCTCTGCCCGAAATCCCGGGAAATATAAACACCCCGCCCTCTCCTTTCTCTGAGCCTGCTGGACCCAGCCCAGACCCCAGACCTCCACCCACCCTGGCCAGTTCCTTCAACTCCCCAGTCCTGCCGAGCCTACCCACTGCTCGAGGAAATCCTGCCGGGCAGTGAGCCCCTAGGGCGCAGGCCCTCCATAGGCTGGGGCAGGGGCACCCTCTTGCCAGCCCAAGCCTGGAGGGCCTCGCCACTTCCCCTGAGGACGCTCCACTTCAAAGCTGGCCTCACTTTTGGGGTCCAACTATCCTTGCAAAAGAGTCGCCAGGAGGCTTGTTAGGAGAACAGATGACATCCCCCACCCCTCCAGGATTCCGACGAAGACTGGGGTAGGGCCCACGGTGATTCCAGATCACCCAAGGGATTCTGCATGTGTTCTGCCCACCTGCTCTGGAGACGCCCCCTGCTCGCCCAGCTGCCCCGGCTCCTCCTGGCAGGACCCAGGTGGGTGCTTCCCGTCCCTGGTTCCCCTTCTGCCTCATTCACCCACAGACCTGGCAGCAGCGCCCATGCTGGAAAAACCCCTCTTCAGTCTAGGGCCCCTCTGAAGCGCCCTCTGTCCCTTCCGCTCCCAGTTAGGCTTCCAGAAAGAGTTGTCCACACTTGAGCACCCACCCTCACCTCCAGCGGGTCCCCCGGCTCCGTCACAACTGCCCTCAGGGGTCCGAAATCATCCTCCAGTACATCCCGTGGCGCCGCTCAGTCCCGGCCCATCCTCTCCTTCCCGGAATCCTGCAGTGGCCTACCCAGCCTCCCTGCCTGCCACTCCCTGCACACTGGTGCCAAGGCTGGTTCCAAAATGTGAGTCCACTCATGTCACCCCTATGCTATAGAGCCTACCATGGCTCCACAGAACTTGCAGGGTCAAATCCTTGGCTCAACTCCAGGCTCTGCTATCCCGCCTCGGTTTGCCCCTCTGAATTCTTCAGTCCTTCCCCTCTCAAGCTCTGTTGTAACACTCACTCGGCTTGCTGGGTCCTAGTGTGTCTCATTCTTCCGGGACTCTGTGCCTTTGCACATGCTCTTCCCCTGCCTGGAATATCCCTCCCGGATATTCCCACCTTGACTACCTCTGAACCCCAGCTCAAGTCTCACAGCCTCCAGGCAGCTTGCCTTGACTTGCCCGGTCTGCGCTCCCCTCCATCCCCTTCCCACTGGATCATCCCCATTGCTTCTGGGGTCAGGAGCCAGGTCCTTCACCCCTGTGGCCCCAGCACAGTGCCTACTCAATGATTCAAAGAATTCAAAGGGAATGAGTGTCGCGCTGGAGGGGGCCATGGCAGACGGGGAACTGGGAGACCGGAGTCTATGCCACCTCCACTCCTAACCCCCAGTGCCACCATGAGGATGTCTTAACCGCCTCTCTGAGCCTGTTTCCTTTAAGGTTCCAAAAGGAGACCATTGCTCCTCACATCCCTCCCTGTGACCTGAGGGTCCCCAAACGATTGCCTTCCCAGCATTTCTCCTAGGACCTGGGCAGCTGCCCCAGAGGTCCCAGCCCTCAGTGGCCACGCCTGCTGCCACTGAGCCCACCTTGGCCTTCTGGACACTTGTCAATCAGGCTGAGCTGGAAGCAGGGACTGCTTCAGTCAAGGGCGTAAGGCTGGTGCCCGGGTCCCCATTCAAACTCCAGCAGAGGGGCTTGGATCAGGCAGCTTTATTCCAAAGGGCAGCTGAGCTCACCTGCCGGTGAGGGTCTGGGCTGTGAGGGGCCAGGTGGCAGGCAGGGGTGGGGCAAGGACCTTGGAGTCAGGGCTTCCCCACCTTTTTTGGCTTACGGTGGCAGCCGGCCCACCTGGCAGTCCCCGGGGCTGTGAGGGTCCCCTCCTATGGGGGCACCTTCCATTCCCAGATCCCAAGTTAGACCAGGGGCTTCCGAAGCTGGCATCTGCTCTCTAGAGGCAAGGCTGCCCAAGCAGCCTCTGTACAGAGTGGGGCACAGCTCAGACACTCCTGGGGACGTAGAGCCAGCATTCTTGCTGCTGAGCCACTTCCTTGCAATAGGCAGCAGTGGAGGAAGGGGACAGAGGAGAGAGAATCGGGAGGCAGAAGGGCTGGGTGTGGGCCTGGGTCCCCAGGGGACGTCTTGACCCCCAGCTGCTGGCACTCCTCCATCCTCCTGCCATCACTGGAGCAGACATCAGGGACAAGACAAGATGCCACCTCCTGCCACCACAGGGCCTGCTCGCGCCCCCCTCCCCCCAGAATACTTGTCCCCCTGCTTGGCAATTGCCCTGGGCTCTCTTGAGTCCAAGAGGTGGGACCTGCTCTGCAGGGGGGCAGTTCCTCAGGTCACCACTTGCTGGATCCAGCCGATCACACCTGTGATGCGGGTGTAGACGCCGAAGTAGTTAGGCCGGCCACAGCCCAGGCCCCAGCTGACCAGCCCTGCCAGGAACCAGCGGCCACTGAGTGCCTTGCATACCAGCGGACCACCCGAGTCACCCTGAAAGGGGGAAAGGAGAAAGGACTGAAGCAGGGTAAGGGCACCCCCTTTCCAGGCGAGGGGCCATGGGGATTAAGTCCTGACTGTTGGGAATTGACTGGGTGCCAGAGACTCACGTTCAGTCTTAAAGCTCTGCTTTTTCCTCGCCTGCTAAATGGAGAGAGTCCAAGCCAACCCTCTTTGTCCTCCAGCCAGCCTGGGCCCTCCTGGAACTGTGGCTGTGTCCCCACACCCCCACTCTGCCTCCACCGCCCTTCTGTGGCTGACACGCCTTTCTTCTTCCTTGCATCCACCTCACTGTGGGACCCTGGGCCTAGTGCCTTGTGATGGGCAAGGAGCAGAACTGGGTTTGAGCCTAACACCTGCCCGTCACAGCATCTCTTCTGATCCATGGCTCTGCAACCTTGGGCAAGCTCCTCAACCCTTCCAACCCCCAGTCTCCTCTTCTGTAAAGTGAGGGCGGCCATCGCCACCTTTCTGGGAGGATGGGAGGCTTCAGCAGGCTGATGTGAGCATAGGGCCAGACCCTGATGATGTGAGCAGCATCCTTTCTTTCTCCCTCCCACACTGGGGGTACTCACCTGGCAGGCATCCTTCTTGCCCTTGCGGTAGCCGGCACACAGCATGCGTGGCGTCACCTGGTAGCGATAGGCCTCGCTGCACAGGTCCTGTGGGATCAACTGCACGTCCACTTTCTGCAGAGCATTGCTGGTGGGGCCTGTCCGTGGTCAAGGGCAGAAGTGAGATCTAAGGAACCTGGAGCACCTGTTCTCCCTAACGCTCCTTTGCATCTCAGGAGCCTGCTTCTCTCCTGCTCTGCCCACCCTTACCTCTGCTGGGGTTGCACCTGCCCCTCTGCCTCCCTGTCACTTTATTCTAGCTCTTTCTCTGTGGGGTTCATGGAGACAGAGCCCCTGACCAAAGCCCATGTGGAGAGCCAGGCAAAGTGGCTCACGCCTGTAATCCCAGCACTTTGGGTGGCCAAGGCGGACAGATCACCTGAGGTCAAGAGTTCAAGACCAGCCTGACCAACATGGAGAAACCCTGTCTCTACTAAAAATACAAAATTAGCTGTGTGTGGTGGTGCATGCCTGTAATCCCAGTTACTCAGGAGGTTGAGGCAGGAGAATCGCTTGAACCCAGGAGGCAGAGGTTGTAGTGAGCCAAGATCATACCATTGCACTCCAGCCTGGGCAACAAGAGTGAAACTCCATCTCAAAAAAAAAAGAAGCCCGTGTGGATGAGTGTCTTACTCCAGCGTCTTGTCCCCCACCTCTGTCTGTTCAGGCACCTCTGGGCTCTGGCTGGCTCTTCGCTGCTATGTTATAGCACCTGGGGATGTTTCCAAAGCCCACATCTGACCCCTTCACCGTTTCCTTACAACTCTGCAGAGCCCCAACTCTGCAGTCCACCCCAGTGCTTCTCCAGGAGGGCAGCATATCACAGTCCCCTGGGAAGCCTTGATACAAGGGTTTTTCTTGAACCACGCATGGTTCTAAGGTGCAGGTAGGAGGGAGAACTCCTGGCCCAAGATCCTTACACTGGCTGCTCCTTGCCCAGGCACACCTGCCCCCCACCTTGGCCCCTGTGGCAGGCTGCGGATGTTCTCAGGTCTTCCTGTCTTGGCACCTGTGTCTTCACCTGAATGTCTTTTCCCTTTGTCTGGATGTTGCCAACTCATCTTCCAGGCCTCAGCTTAAACAACCCTCCCCTAGAAGCCTCCCTTGACCCTACCTAGGCAGGAGCCTCCTCTGTGTCTCCACTGTCCCTACACCTCCCCATCCATGCCAGCCCTTATCACTGTCTGTCTCCCCCGAGAATGTTCTCTCTCCATCCTGATGTACCCTTCCCTTAACCCCATACCTGGTACATAGCTGGTGCTCAGAAAGTGTCATTGAGTGACTGAATGAGTGAAGGAATAGTGAATGAACCAGCCTTTGCTTTGCCATGACTTCTGCCATCCCCTTGGGTAAGTCACTGTTCCTCTGAGCCTCAGTTTTCCCATCCTTAAAATATCTCTGCAGCCCTGCCTGCCTCCAGATTGTAAGTCACTGTACACATTTGTGAAGCCACCAACACTAAGGCTGCAGGGCATGTCTGTAGGTTTGCCAGCTGGGTCTGTGTCCCCAAAACTGTACGGTGGCCGCCAGGGACAGCCAGCTCTGGTT